CGCACACACACACACACAGCACACACACACACACACACACACACACACCTTGTCCATCGTCTCTGCTGCTGTTCTGCGTTGTAGTTGCTCGTCGGTTTTTTTCTCTGTCGGTCTCCCTGTATTGCTGAGTCAGCATTATTTGATGCCTCGCCACGCCACCAACGACACGGCCAACGACGCCGCGAACAACACCAGTTCGCCACTGCACGCTGCGACTGATTGCGTGTTGTTGTTGTTGTTGTGGGTGCAGCTTGTGTTGCCCACACCACAACACAACACACCACGCACGCAGGACTGGCTGCACACGCGCACAGGCACACACACACAACGTGCGGGTTCGCCACCAACGGAGGATCGAAGTGCAGTGGCGTTGTGGATGTTTTGGTTTGGGTTGGTTGGGCGGTGACGAGGCGTTTTGTCGTGCTGCTCACGCTTCAAAGCAACGGTGCCCGTTGTTGCGCCAACAGCACGCCCCTCCACGCCTGCCGCCCCGCCGCTTGCTTTCCGCCTCGTTCGCGTGTGTCGACATTGGTCGTTGTTTTGGTTTCTCCACCGTTGGTGTGCTGCTGGCCAGGCGTGTCGAGCTGCATGTCGAGCGGTTGCCCCGTGACTTCCACAGCAACTGCCCCTGTTTCCAGACGGCTCTTTACATGTCATCATTGTTCACGCACCCACACGCGCGCGCAGCAACTCAACACACACAAGCACACAAGCACACACAAGCACACACAAGCACACAAGCACACAAGCACCCACCACTGCAGCACCACCAGCCAGCAGTGGCGCGCGACTTTCTTTGTGGTGCACCCTCCTCGTCGTCACCGATCCGCTCACACGCAGCAACAACAAGGCCTGGCTGCGTGACAACACGGTGTTTCTCCCACCAACACCCGGGCACAACACGCCCGTCGGCACACCAACCAACCGTCCAGCAAGCAAGTCTGCAAGCACAGCACTCAACAAAAATCAGCAACCCGGCATTGCTCTTGGCGTCCACCCTCCTTTCTCACCCACTCCCTCCCAGCACACTCTCCAGCCTACGTGAAACGCACACACATGAGCAGCTGCAGAGAGCACCTCTCCATCGCCACCCCCCGCCCACACACAAACACACAAACAGCAGCCGTCACACCAGCACCCAGCAGTAACATCTCCCCACTTGCTCTCCGTGATCTGATCTGAGCGAGTTCACTCCGCGCCCACAAGCCGCCACAGACCTCCCGCGAGCGCTGGTGCAAGAGTCACGCGCTGCGGCAACCACACTTCTGCCTGTTACATGGCGCAAGCCCCAGCCACCGCACAAGCAGCAAGCACAAGCACAGCCGCCGACACACGCACAACGCCAGCAACTGCCGCAGCCACAGCAACACCACGCATCACTTGTCTTCAGGCCACATCACCTCGCCCAGCACTATGCGGCATGTCGCATAGGCACAGCAGACACATGACCACCACCACCACCACGGCCACGGCCACCATGCAGGCGTTCATCGTGGTGCTGGCACTCGCTCTTGCCACAGGTGCGTGCACACACACACACACACACATGCACACACACACACACACACATGCACACACACACATGCACACACATGCACACACACACACATGCACATGCACATCACGTCTCATCACAGCATGCCTTGATTTGATGATCAATGCAATGTGGAACCAGCACATGCTTGTGCTTGCTTGCACTGCCAAAACGTGCAGGTCACAGCAGCAGGTGCTGTGTGCTCTGCTGTATGACTGTGCTTCATCGTGCTGGCATGCATGCGCACTCACCTCATGCAAATTGCACACACAACACAAACACAAACACACACACAACACACAACACACAACACACAACACACAACACACAACTGCGTGGTCGCAGGGGTGCATGGCGCGTGCAACTGGGAGCCTGTTGCCAGCAGCTGCTCCGTCGCATGTGGTGGAGGTGTCCAACACGTTGACTACACCTGTGTGTGCGCATCTTCCTCCACCACGAGCCAATGCAGCACTCCCAAACCAGGTATGTGTGTGTGCGTGTGTGTGTGTGTGTGTGTGTGTGTGTGTGTGTGTGTGTGTGTGTGTGTGTGCTTGCATCGTTCATGCACTGCCATGTATGAGTGCCAGCATGAGTGCTCACAGCTGCTCAACTCTTGAACCAACACATCAACCAACATATCAACCAACACATCAACCAACCAACACATCAACGAACATCAACCAACCAATTAACCCCCCCCCCCCCCGGTCTCACCCCCTCTATCGCTCCTTATTGCTCCACCACACCTATGTTTCATGGCACACCAACAGCACCACATACACGCGCGTGCAACGAAGAGCAGTGCGCCTACTGCCACACGTTTCACTTCACCAACGTCCCACTGAACGTGCGCCACAGCGACATCATTTCCGCCGCCCAGCTGGCATTCTCGCCACCAAACACCACCATTGCCGCATCCACAACAGCCCCGCCCGTCGTGGTCGGGCCAGCCTCAACCACAAACCCCAACAACAGAGTCAACGATTCCACCACAATCGCGAACAACAACGACAACAGCAACAGCAACAGCAACATGCCGTCATCAGCGCTGCTGGGCGACCACACCGCCTTTCGCTGGATCTCCCCAGACAACACTGTTGTGCTTGCGTTTGACCCGGACACGCAGCTGTGGGTGGTCACCCACACCACCACGGGCGACGTGCTTGCAAGCACGCCCTCCCACCCGCCGTTTGTGTCCTCTGCTGGCACCCCAGCCCTGTGGGACATGTTTGATCCCGCGGTGGTTGCGTTTCAGGTTGCCCGCACCGCGCGTATGGTGTGCAGCGCATGCCATGTCGACGATGACAGCGAACCCGCCGAGTTTTTTCTTCGCAAGGACACGTGTGCGCAGGTGTGTTGAGCAATGTGTGTTGCGGCGGTGGTGTCTTTGTTCGTGCTGTTCACTTGCTGCTGCCGTTCAACCTGGCTGTTTTCAATGACAAGCACTCAACTGACCATCTTTCTCTCCGTGCACCACACACACACACACACACACACACACACACACACACACACACACACACACACACACACGCACACACAAAACACACGCACAAAACACACACATAACACACATAACACACACACACGCACACACATAACACAGGTGTCGCCTGCGTGTGCGTCTTCCGAGCAAGTTGCTGCGCCCACGGCCACATCGGATCGCGTGTGCTCCAATGCACGCTGCACCGACAACTGCGCCAACTGCACACGTGACGGCGCGTGCGTGCTCTGCCCGACATACACATACCTGCACGACGGCCAGTGCGTGACATCGTGCCCGTCACCGCTCATTGCAGACGATGTGACCCGCTCCTGTCGCGTGTGCGGCGCCGCCCACTACCCAGCAGCAGCAACAGCAGCAGCAGCAGCAGCAGACGGTCGTGGTGACAGTACACAGTGCCTGCCGTGCTCGCAGGCGACGTGCTATGCGTGCGGGCTGAATGGCGAGTGCGTGTGCGACATTGGGTCGACGCTGACCAGTGGCGAGTGCATCCACACCGCCGGCACCACAACCGTATTTGTCCAGACACACGACGCCAATCCCTTCAACTCAACGTTCGTGCTTGCACACCTTTGCTTTTAACATGATGCCTTGTACTTACCGTTGCACATGCGTGCATGAACCACGACCCTATGCTGTCTCGTGCTCACCCACCACCGCCAATCACCACCGTCAGGGTGCTTCGACGGGAACTGGAAGCCCTGCTGCACGCGCGCGTGTACTTTGAGTTTGTGGGCAGCGGCAACGCCGTGTCTGTCACCTTCTCCGCGTGTAGAACAGAGACCCGCCTGTGTCTTGCCTCAGGCCTTTTGCAAGCCGTGAGTATAACCCCACGCCATTTTGTGTGATTACGAGTGTGGTGACCGATGTGGTTGGTGTTCATGACGAGTGTCTCCCTTCCATTCTGCCCTGCCCCGCGAGAGCGCAACATGCACACACATGCACACGGCTGCATATCAATTACAGTTGCGCAGCCTACAGTGCAACACAACACATCGCGCAACTCTTGCTCACCCGCTTCTCGTTTTGTGTCTCTCCTCACTCTCTCGCTTGCATGTGTTAGCTGGTGATGGACGAAGACACATTGCGGCAGTTGGAGCAGGACACAGGGTACACTCTGACGGTGCTTGCAAGCACGCCGACAACCACCACGACTGGTGCTCCGCCAGCTTCCAACTCGGGCGTCCCAGGTCAGATCCCACACACGGCGGCAATGGAAGTGGCGTGGCGGTGTTGGTGTTGGGTGGGAGAACGTGTCATAGCGTCAGACCAACGAACCAGGAGGGAGCAGGAGAGGTGGAAGAAAGTGTGTGTGTGTGTGTGTGAGTGTGTGTGTGTGTGAGTGTGTGTGTGTGTGTGTGTGCGTGTGTGCGTGTGTGCGTGTGTGTGTATCACCCATCTCTCATCCCGCATGTGTGCACGTTACGGTTGATTTTTTCAGGCCTGTCTGATCTGGCGTACATCCTGATTGCGGTTGGAGGATTTCTCCTCCTCGTTGTTCTCGGTTTTGTCGTCTCCATCGCCTGCACTTCGAACAAGAGGTGCAGCGCCCGCTTTGTTTTTTTGTTTGTATGTTTGTTTGTATGTTTGTTTGTTTGTTTGTTTGTTTGTTTGTTTGTTTGTTTGTTTGTTTGTTTGTTTGTATGTTGTTTGTTTGTTTGTTTGTTTGTATGTTTATTGCTCTTGTTTCTGTGCGGCATTGCACTTCCTGCTGCCCGCGTACTCACGTGTGACTGGTTTATGTCCACCCTTTGTGCTTGCAGGCAAAAGCGCCGCAATGAACTGCGGCTGACCAGCAACGGGCACTCGCCGAGCAAAGGCGACCGCGCTCGCGATCACCACAAGAGGAGGCGAAAGCACCACAAGCACGCCAACAACCAGCGAAAGGCAAACGCCCTCAATGCCCTCGAATACGACGACACACCCCTCTGCAATGTGACATCAGAAATGTCAGTTTCCATCCCCGCAGGGTGTGCACGTGTACCACGCACGCACACACACACACACACACACACACACAACACATACACGCGCACGCACGCACGCACGCACACACACACACTCTCTCTCTCTCTCTCTCTCTCTCGCATTGTTCAGCAACTCACTTGATGCAATGCCATCTTGCTGCTGTCGTGTTCAGGCTGCTTGGATCCGAGACAGAGGGTGCTGCTAGTGTTGACTTGTGCACGCGTTTCCACGATGTGCTCAAGTGGTGGAAGACATCAGAGCTTGTCCGCGGCGTCGGCCTCTCAAAGTCAGTAACTCGACTGCTTGCTCGCGCTGACCTTCCATCGTTGATTGTGTGCACGTGTGTGCGTGTAAGTGTGACGCCATTGCGTGCGCTTCCTCGTCTGCTTCAAAGGCTCACCACTCACCATCAATCACCATCAATTACCATCAATCACCATCAATCACCACCAATCACCACCACCACCACCAGGACCGGGCGGCCGTACGCGTGGTTCCTCGGCCTCGTGTCGACGGAGCGATCAGAGCAGATTCTCCTCTCCAGCTGTGAGGGCGCTTTCCACATCCGCGTCTCACGCGACTTTCCGGGGTTCGTTGCCTCGTCTAGCTGTCACTGTACTCGTATGCAGGCGTGCGCATCAACCATGTGTGCGGGCGTATTTGTCTATGTGTATGTTGCAGTACAGCCATGCACACACACACACACACAATCCTCATTGCACACGGAAGAATGCAGCCCCATTCACTCGCCTGGTCTCTGTCTGCCGTGCACTTGTCTCACGTGTTCCTTCCTTCCCTTCCTTCCTCGACTTCATCGTTGCTGCAGGTATGTGCTGTCTGCGCACCACAAGAACCGTGTGTACCACTACGACATTCACGTCGTCCGCCGCCACCGCTACCGCATTGCTGGCGACGCCGGTGGTAACGCCCGCCACAAGTCACTGCGCAGCATCGTTCACTACCACGCTCGCGCACCGCTCAAGGTACAGCCGCTGTGATGTGGTTGCTTGCTGTCGGTCACACATGTGGACTGCTGTCAACATTGGTGCCCTGATTCCCTGTTTGGCTTTCACCCAAAGCCGCTCTCACTCATTCCCATTCTCCTTCTTCACCCTCTCCTCCTTCCCACCACCACCACCACCACCACCACCACCCCTGCCACGGCGACTGCAGGGTGCCGGGTATCTGCGGCGGCCGTGTGGCGACCGCGCCGTGTCGTACCACGAGCTCATCCGCATGGTCCGCAGCATGACAATGACCGCGTAAGTTCACGCAAATGCCACACTCAAGAGGAAGAGCCGAAACCCACACATACATATGCGTGTAGTACACACATTCCTGCATGCACAGCCACACATACACACGCGCACAAGCCCTCGCACATGCTCACACCACCGCCACCGCCACCACTGCCAGGTCCATCTTTGATGTTCCGAGCGAGGCGGCGCCACGGGGGCGACGGGAGCGACCGGCGACATTCTACCGCGAAGCGGACAGTGATGAGGAGAGCCAGATCTATTACACCCTCGAGGAGCTTCAGGCGCAGCAGGAGCCAATCTACCAAACCCTCTCAGAGACAGGTGTGTGCGTGTGTGTGTGTGTGTGTTTGTGTGTTGATCTTTCGCTCGTCATGTGCACGCCTTCAAATGGTGTGGATTGCGTGCTTGCCGCTCAGCGAGCCTCCTCGCAGCGATTTTCACAGCGGAAACACCAATCACCCCCCTCCCGTCCATCACGCCAACACCCCCACGTCAACATAATTATAGCTCACGTTCAAACTCATGCCTGTTCTGTATGCTTTCATCTCTCCCCCCCCCCGGCCCGCCAACAGAGCGCCAGACACGCGAGTTGGAGATTCGGGCAGAGCTGGAGGCCGACAGCGACAACGGCGCCGAAGTCATGCAACTGCCGCACTCTGATGTTGATGTTGATGACGATGATGTTGACGATGACGATGACGACGATGCCGAGGATATGGATGTGAGCCACGACGCGTCGCACAACCGCTCCTCTGCGGACTCGAGTGCACAGCAGAGCGAGGGCCATCGTCGCGTGCGTGCACTGCAGCACCTCAACCGCCACATTGCCAGGTTCTCGCACGCCGAGGACCCAGTGCATGCTGGCAGACAACATACGGGCGCAGGCGCAGGTGCAGTGCATGTGCGCGAAAGCTTGCTGCAGTTTGACACGGATGTGCGGAATCACCCGCAGCAGCTGCTGCAACAGCAAGAGCATCACCTCAACGACGCAAGCGCGCTGCTGCATGCTGACTCTGCCGACCAGACGCGCGACCACCACCTGTTTGCGTCGTCTGCGGCGCTGCTTGACTTTGACACACCGGATCACGCGTTGCGGCGATCACACTCCCTGCCCACCCTGGCCGCATGCCAGGCCATCGCGTCCCAGCTGCCCCGCCTTCGCCACCACCGCCGTCGTCACGACAAGCACTGTGGTGATGACAGTGAGGAGGACAACCAGCAAGCGTCATTGTCGCACGGAGCAGCTGCAAAACCAACAGCAACAGCAACAACAACAACAACAAGGTCATCATCCTCGCCACCGCCGCTGCCGTCTCCTCTGCACACGCTCTCGCTTCGCGAGCATCACCCTGCTCGCTCCCAGTCTGTCGGGGTGTCCAGCGTGTACGACCACGAGCCCTGGCTCGCGGCAACGGTTGTCTCCAACCCTTCGCGCGAGCTTGGTGCCAATGCGCTGCGGCGTTGGCCCGGCCGGGCAGGTGCACCCCCAGGCCTGCTACACCCGCGCCACGAACTCGCCTGTGCACTCGTCAGCGGTGTGCGCAGTGGCAACCTGTCGTCCCACGGCGATGGCAGCTCTGGGTCGCGCGGCACCGACGCAGATGGCGAGAGCCCTTGGTCGCTTGGGTCGTCGCCGCGTGCCACGTCTGCAAACCCTGGGCGAGGCCTCATTCATGGTGGCCGTGATGACGCCATCGCACACACACGCACTGCTGTGCTGGCTGATACCGCTGCTGAGGACGAAGGCGACGGCGTGGTCATCGAGCGTGCGCGTGTTGTTGCTCGAGGCGTGGCAGACAGGCGTCGCGTCTTGCTGCGCGGTGGCGATGATGACGATGACGACATCAACAGCTATGCGTCTGTTGTTGAAGGTGGCCAGTCCTACGCCAGCGTGCTTCCGATTGACGTGGGCGCATATGCCACCATCGTGGACGACGACGAAGACGCGCGGGATGTCGGCTCGTACGTGAGTGTCGACGACGTGGGCTCGTATGCGAGCGTGACCGGCAACAGTGGCGATCCTCGCCGCGTGCTCCAGCTGGATCCATCACCGCTGGCACAGCACACTCAGCGGTGGAGCGATGAGGACGTGCCGAACAAGAGCAGCAACGGGGCTGGGCGCCACAACGCACCACACCCGCTCACGACGACAGCGACGGCAACGGGCACCGACAGCGGCAGCACCGGATACGCGAGCGGGGGCAGCAGCGGGGGCGATGGGAACGAGGGCCGGCCCAAGTTCCACCGCGTGCCGCTGCAGACGGCGATCAAGAACGTGGCGGCGGCGCGGAAGGGCGCAGACGACTGGCGCCGTCGGTCCCGCGGTGTCGAGGTGGACGCAGACGTGATTCTCCGCACATCACCAAGCCGAACGGCATGCGCTGCGCAGCAAACTGCAGGTAGCAACAACAACAGCAACAGCAGCAGTGGTGGCGATGGCAGTGGTGATGGTGGGAGGCGGCACAGGCTCCGGCGCAGGTCGCAGCAGTCAGCGGAGCTCGCCGCCGCTGCTGATGCCAATGATGTTGGCATGACCGCGATGATTGCGAGCACGGCTGGCTGCACGCCGCCATCTTTACAGACGCGAGCTCGGCCCAATCGCAGCAGGGGCAACGGCAGCAGCAGGAGCAGGAAGAAACGCCACTCCTCGCAGCCCCGCCCACACGGCAGCACGCATGCCGATGACGATGATGACGATGATGACGACGTTTACAACGGCCACGATGGCGGCGATCGAAGGAGACGCAGCAGCGAGGAACCACGGCGGCGGCGGCACCGGCGACACAGCGCGTCATGGCGGTCTGTTGAGCGCCAACAGTCGTCTTCGCCACGCCTGTTGCTCCTACAGTCACAGCAGTCGCAGCAGTCACAATCGCCTGTGAGGGCAGAGGGTGCTGTGCGACAGCGTGTGCTGCAGTTGCAGCGGCAGATGTTGCCTGACCCCGTGGCCGTGACGCGGGTGCACGTGGGCGCACCATCACACCCAGCATCATCCCATGGGCAGCATCGTCAACATCACCCCCGCATGGCGTACCGTCACATGTCCGCCGACAGCGCCGCTGACACCCACGCACATCACCATCACCATGCGGATCAGTTTGCGCACCAGCAACCGGGGCAGCTTCAGCAGCGGGAGAGCAGGCGCATCAAGGGGCGAAGCGTTGATGTGATGGCGCGACCATCAACACCGCCAACGCAGCTGCACTGCCACGACAACCGCAGCAGCTACCCCCTCTCCGCACACAACGTGTCGAGCAGCGTGTCCCCGCGGCGCGTGGTGCTCACGCGATCAGGGACGCCGCCCTTGCATCATGGCGCTGGCCTGTACACGAAGAATTCGCCGGCGTTTGGCGCTGTGCCGCCGCCATCGCGCCCCGATCGTGGCGTGCGCGAACGCACATCCTCTCCACTCGCCACACAGCTCATGGTGAGAGGGCAAACGTGCTGTGCTGGTGTTTACGTTTGTGTTCTTGTGTGTGTGTGTGTGTGTGTGTGTGTGTGTGTGTGTGTGTGTTTTCTTGTGTGTGCATGTGTGTGTGTGTATGCGTCATGACGTTGGTGTTCATCGCGTGTACTGCTTGGCATACACGTTGGACATTAGCATGCTGCTGTCCTCACTCGCTTGTGTGTCTTTCAACCCTTTGCTGTGCAACAGGAGCAGAGCTTGTATCGTTCCACATCCCCACAGGTGTTCCAGCAGCATCATCCACAACAGCCTGCGATGGTGTTGGAGTCAAGTCTGCCACCTCCACCGCCGTACACACGCGCATCGGCGCCAAACCCACTGCGGCGCACGCGAACGAGCCATGACGTGCAGGGACGCAGATCACCACCCCCGTACTCCGCACTGCACCCACAGGTGTGTGCTGCTGGCACACAAGCACTTGTTGGGCTGGCGCATGCTTGATGTGGTGCGCCTAGATGCGTGTTTGCCTGCTGTGGTGTCCTTTGCACACACACACTCACTTGCACACATGCACATACATGTTCACGCATGTTCACGCTTTGGGCCTTTGCAGCTCTCAACATCGGCTGAGCATGGACGCACACGCTCCCGCTCCGAGCGCTATCAACGAGTGAGTGTGTGGGTGTGTGTGCGTGTGTGTGTGTGCGTGTGTGTGTTTGCTGTGCTTGAGTGTGGTGCATGATTCGTGATGTGTGCGCTTGTGAATCTGGGTTCCCATTACCTTTCGACTTCATTACGCTTCTCTCTCTGCATCTCTTTTTCTTTCACTCACGGTTTCGCTCACTCACACAACGTCCATGTGTCACCTCCAACAGCGCTCCTTGCCTGTGCAGGAGCTGTAACATCAGAGGCGTTGACGCGGTATCGTTGTACTCCACCGTATCGTGGCACTGCTGCGACTGGCCAAAACTGTTTGACACCTGACTGTCACTGCAACTACAGCAGTGAACTGGCGGAGCCATGCGGGGCTGTTCCAACGTGCTTGTGGTTGCTCTTAATGTCGCCCCCTTGCACGACTTTAGACCACCAGCTTGCTTCAGTGTTGCGTATTTAGTCGTCGTTGGTCATATTCAATTATGCAAGGCATTCCATTTGTGTGTGTGTGTGTGTGTGTGTGTTTGTTACATGTGCTTCAAACGTGTGCATGCTTGTCTTATGTTTATATTCACATCATTTGTACTGGCTGCTTGTCACTACTGCCCTGCTCTTTGCTCTAAGTCACATCACGGTAATTAAATGCATCACCCTCCACATCGCATCCGCGCATACACACATACACACACACACACACACACACACACACACACACACACAACTAACCCGTTACAGAATATTCAATGGAGAGGAGGATACCTACCATCATCAGTATGGCGAGCTGTCGGCTTCTCGTATATAAGTACCTGATACGTAACGCCCGAGAATTAGAAATACCTACTAGCTGCCATGCCGAGGTCGCCGGCTTGGTTCACTTTAATTGACCATTTAGCGATTTGCGGATGCGCATGTGATTCAGCTTTACTTATGCCACAGGTTGGCCAGAACCGTCCGCACACACACACACACACACACACACACACACACACACACACACACACACACAAATTGAACGCACGCAAAGAAACAATGTATGCACAACGTGTAACAAGCAGCGCCCATCTCGCTGTGACAGTGGACACAATCAACATAACTCAAAAGAGATCTATCAGCAACAATCAACAGTGGTCTGCGTGGGTGTATGCGCGCACCCACCACGCCATACAAATGTGCACACGGACCCAGACCAGAGCGCATGGTTTGTGGTTCAATACATCGCCGACTCCCTCTCCTCCTCTACCTCCTCGTCTTCCTCTGGTATGGCCAGCGTCTCATTTCTCCTCATCGTCTTGTGAGCGTGTTGCGGATATGCAACCGTTGATCGTCTGCTTGCATTTGAGAGTTGCAAGGGGACAGGAGTGAGATGGGCGGGTGTAGCTTGTTTAACCATTGTCAAACGCCATCCTCAGTTGCTCGATGTAACACACCGACACACAGACACACACACACACACACACCAGCTTACCGTGTTCCCATTTGCGTGTATGTTGGTTGGTTTTCGTGGGATGGCGGTGGCGGCAGCCCGCGCGACTTCAGCGTGTTTCCTCCTGCACACATGTACATGTCGACATAAAAGACACACAGTGTGTGCAATGAGCAAGTGTGTGCGCGGATATGCGTGTTGTCATTTGTATGCGTGTTTCTGTGCGTGTGCAAGCTGCTACGCCTCATGATTGTGCCTACTTGCTGGCTGGCTGTTGTGTTATGTTGTGTTGTGTGGTTGAATTGCATCCAATAGAACGTACGTGATGTGGGCTTGGCGCCGCTGTGCGTCTTGCAGCGGGAACGTGATGTCTGGATGCTGTTTCGCTGGTGAACACTCGTGATTGAAAAGCGTTCGTCATCGTCATCATCACCATCATCTGTCAGCATTGCCGCCATCTGGATTGTAAACAGAAGCGAGATGTGATGGCATCATGATATGAGGTTGCGACTCGACTCGTGCGCTGTGGAGAAGCATCGATGAACAAATGCAAAACATGTTCAGTCCACACAAGATCGTGTTCTATTGAAGCGTGTCGCATGGAACCATAAGCCTATAAGCTCTTCCCGTGTACCTTCTCTGGATCGATGAGGCTTGGGCACCCCTTCAGTGTCCACGACGTCGCCAATGCCTGCAGGCAACGAGAAGCAGCGAATAGCGAAATTGTCAAAACAAGCACGCTGAGTTGTGAGCATCTTCGTAGCTGTTGTTCAGAGGCTGTGCCATATGCGTTGCAGAAGAAATTGCAAAGCGTTCCTCGTATCGCATCGTCTCGTGTCTCGCATGCAGTCAAGAGCAGCGCACCTCATTGCTCCTGTATTTGTCCTGAATTGGCGAGTCCTCTGTCTCATACACGTCACGAAGTGCAGTTGTGCTGCAAAGATGGGTTGAATGAGAATGAATGCGTTGTCGTGAGTAAATGGATGTATTGCAGTGGTGAGTGTGGCATTGAGACGAGGCACAACGGCGATGACAACTGAAAAATCTTCGCTTTGTTATGCATCCTTCTTCATCTCTGCTTCTTCGACTTCTTTGCTTCGCCAGCTTGCAATTGTCACGCATCGGGTCGAACATGAAAAAAACCAGGTCGCTGCATGGATGGGCGGTGTGTTGAACGTACTCAAAGGCGAGTTCCATGAGTCGAAGCTTCAGCGCCGCTGCCGTTGGCCGTTCGGAAGGGTTTGGGTGCCAACAGTCCATCATGATCTCGTACATCTTGCGCGGGCAGCCCTGGCAATCGCATCGGCATTTGAGGCAGCATTTCAACACGTGAGCAGCAGCGTGTGTTGTGTGATGAGGTGCAATGGATGTTGTTGTGTGATGTCGCAACCTACACAACAGTGTGACGAACAAGTTGACACATGTTCGTGCGAACTTAGGCATTTACAACGCGTCCGCACAGTGACATGTTTACGCACACACGCACACACACACACACACACACACACACACACACACACACACACACACACACACACGCACGCGCACGCACGCACGCACGCACACACAACGCCCACACCTTTGGTGGCGGGAGACGGTGACCCTGTCCAACGTGTGTCACGACAACGATGTTGCCCCATCCCTGATGTTTGTGATCAGCAACCATAACACGAAAGCAAGACAGTGAGCGCGACACAGCCAAACAAAACATCCGTTTTGCTTCTTTGTGTGGCAGTGCATCACCATTGATGCAGAAGAACGCGCAGTGCAAACACACGCGCGCCAAGCACACACACACACACACCTTGTATGGCACGGTACCGCCAGACACAAGCTCAAAGAGAACAATGCCAAGACTCCAACTGCAATTGTGTACGCAAGCGCGTAACGTGAGTGTGAGTACAAAGATCGTGCGATCAACAGGGAAGCGCGAGTCTTGGAGGAAGTGACACGCTCTAACACACTCTAACACACACACACACACACACACACACACACACACACACACACACACACACACGCACACGCACACGCACACGCACACGCACACGCACACGCACACGCACACGCACACACACACATATATACAGATGGCAGGATCGCATGTTGGGACACAGCACTGTCGCATCTTCGTCACTCAAACGCACATGTCGCTCTTGGTGCTGTAGAGGCCATAGTTGAGGGCTTGAGGGCAGGTCCACCTGAGAAGCGACGCAATGGAGTGAGGCGGTGATGTGTGGGCACTCAAAACCAAGAACACCGCAGCAAAATCAGTAGCAAGTACCAGAGGTACGCGTGTTCACACCTGACTGGAATGGTTGCCTCTGTCTCCGTGACAACGTCCTCATTGGGTGGAAGGCGAATGCTGCAGCCAAAGTCGCCCACCTGCGGTGACACAACAGCAATGAAACAGCCATGATGGCATGGCAGTGGGGGTAAGCGTGGCGAACGTGGTGGTAGATGTAGTAGGGCTTTCGTGGTGAGGGTGGGCACTGAAGCACAGCGTCGTGCGTGGGATTGTCGCGCTGATTGTTGTGCTGTGTTGTGGTTTGTAGCGTCCATGTGTGTACCTTTGCAATGTTGCCATCCAGCAAGATGTTCCGGCTGTGACATGCGCGGGACGACGCGGAACAGGCGTTGATGAGGGTGAAAGACGGAAGATGAGTGTGAAGGTGGATGTTGTGAAGGTTGATGTTGTGAAGCATTTTCGCACACCCAAGCGCGGGAAAGCACGCATTCACACGTCACACGTCACACACACACACACACACACACACACACACACACACACACACACACACACACACACACACACACACACACACACACACACACCAAGCGAGATCGCGGTGGATGATCCTGTTTCGGTGGAGATATTCTGCTGCAGCAACAGTGTTGACGGCCCACTGCATCACTTCAATCGGCCGATGGGGGCGCTTCCGAAGCACCTGAGGTAACACAGCAGACAAGATGACATTGTTGTTGGCGATGGCGGCGTGGTGTCGGAGATGAACGAATGCAACGCAACTAGTTTGCTTGGGCGGTGCTGTTTCAAAACAACGTGTGATGCGGGCGATATCAACAACAGCGTGCAATGTGATAAACGTCAATACACCAGTGCCGTGTGTGTTGCACATACCTTGTCGAGAGAGCCGTGTCGCATGTACTCGAACACGAGCATGGGGGGTGTTGTGCTGACAGTGCCAATCAGCCGAACGATATTGGTATGATCCAGCCCTCTGAGCATCTTCTCCTCAGCATCCAACAACGCACGGCCTGTGCGAACGAACAAATCATGTTCGCGAGACGATATCGTGATTGACGCATCAACAGCTAACCAATGCAATACGCCCCGGTCAGGTGATGGACAGCCAAAGAATAGCACCCACACCCACACCCACACCCACACCCACAGACTGATGCATGGAAGCCTTCGTACCTGCTGTGTCGTTTGGGTTTGGCAGCAGCTTGACGGCAACACACCGGCTTCGCTCGTCAGAGCGGAGAATGGCACGGCAAACAACACCGCACGCGCCCTGTACAGTGTGTGCGTGCATGCATGGTGTGTGCACGTGTGAGTACAAGCAAGCGGTGTGCACGTGTGTGTGTGTGTGCTGCGGAACAAGCCTTCGTCTTTTCAATCACAGTGTGTGCGTGTGCAATAGCGGCAGATGGCGCGGCGGGTAGCGTTTAGCACCGTCTCACCTGGCCAATGGTTTCCTGGATCTCAAGCTGATCCTCCCTGAATGGCGTCTGCTCCGTCGATGTCTTGTTGCGAAGACTCAGCGCGCACGGACGGCCTGCAGAACGCAATAGACACGAATTCGTACGCAAGCGTGACAATGAGCAGTGGTGTTGTCATTCTCGCGCTGCACACCAACACCCATCAGCAACACATACACACATGCACACACACTCACACACGCACGCACACACACACGCACGCACACACGCACGCACACACACACACACACGCACGCACACACAGCAGGCAAGACAAGGCCGTACCACATCCCCACATCCGCATATTCACGGCCGTGCAACGCACCTCGCTGAACGTTCATGCTGACATATGGCACCACGTCGTTGCCCGCTACACGTGTGTCAGCGTCACTGGGGTGCCCGCTGTCCGTCGATGGAAGAGTCGCGTGCGTACCGCTGTTGCTATCGCCATCCCCCTCGTCATCATCACCATCATCACCATCATCACCATCATCACCATCAGTAGCAGCATCGCGCCCATTGTCACCACGCAGCTGTGGGAACACGGCTTCTGACGAATTCTCACTCCCGCGCGAGGAGGAGTCGTACTTGATGATTTTACCTTCTTCATGGCTCACGTCGTCATACCCTGGCAGTGACACGGCAACTTCGTGGGGAGTACTTGCGGTTGGCGTGCTATCCAGTACATGTGCATGCATGCCTCCTGGGCTGCTGTAAGCATCGTGCCTCACACCCGACGGGAAGTGATCACCCCAAATCTCTGGGGGCGCAGGCCAAGTGGTTGCGGACGGCTGCGGGGATATGCGCGCGCTCCCCGGCATCCCAAGCACGGATGCGTTTGACATGGACCAGCGCTGCTGTCGGTAGGGCAGCCAAGTCGCTTCGTCATGAACATCGGCTCCGTCGTGTCGTGCATCCACACGAATACCCGTGCTGGCGTTACCCGCACCATTCCTTGCTGCACACTCGTCATCAGACGAGTCATCGTCGTGGTGAGACGTGGGACGCTGTGCTGGCTGGTTGTGGTGTCGCTTCCGCCTCAACCACACATGTCGCCTCTTCTTCGTTTTCTTGTTCTTCTTTCTGTGTTGCTGCTGCTGGTCCTTCTGCTGCACCTTGTCTTTCGCGCCTGCACTGCTGGTCGTGGTGCTGCTGTCTGTGTTTGGGTTGCTGTCGCTGACACTGATCACGCTCGCATCGCCTTCGCTGCCATGTGCGGGTTGAGCGGGAGTATCCTTTGATGCCGTGCCTGCAGGCAACCCGCGTGCGCTGTTCTGACGCAGGGCGACGTTCATCGTGGCATTTGCGGTGCGCGTGCGCCTGCGCAGCGCAACAAGTGCTGTTTGGCTGATGCCCGTGTACTTTCGGGTCCGCAGGTCGGCGAGTTGTGCTGGCGTGAGGGGGCCTTTCGCTGGAGTTGATGCTGCTTGAACACTAATGTCTGTTGCATTGGGTGTGGTAGCCTTTGCATCATCGCCGCCGGTGCTGTTGTTGCTGTTGTTGCTGCTGGTGTTGCTGCTGTTGGCCACGGTGGTAAATGGTACTTCTCCTGGTGATTGCTGCACCTCTGGCCGCGTGTTTGGGATGGGCACGTTTCGCCAAATGGGCGCGAACCGAGGGTCTATACACGTGTGTAAGAAAGTGTGTGTGTGTGTGTGTTTAAGTGTGTAAGTGTGTAAATGTGTAAGTGTGTGAGTGTACGTGATTATTAACATGACTGTGTGTCTCACGCAGGGAGAGATCAAGACTGCCGGCAACAGAAAAGGGGGAATCAACCACAACTTACCGATGGTGACGTATGGATCTTCGTCTGATGCGGCGCTTCCAGCTGATGACGCCTCTGTTTCGTGCTCTTGTTGTCGTTGTCGCTGCTGTTGGTGTCGCTGCTGCTGCTCTCGTTCTTGGCTGGGTTGCGCGAATCGGCCGTCGGCTGTAGATTGAGGTTCATCTTGGGCCATCACCATTTCGGTGTGTCCTTGGTGAACACTGGTAACGCTGGTGTCGCCGCGACGACTCGCGTCTTCAACACAACTGTGCTGCCTGCACCGCTCCGTGCGCTGTGCCGCCCCGTCGTGTGTTCCGCAGGTTCCTGTGCCAGTGTGCGGTGTTGGCGTTCGCGACTCAGACGCATCCGACACGAGATCGTATGCGGGCCCTTCGTTGCTGGCGTTTGATTTCACGCTCGCTGAGGCTGCATGATACACGCAATAAACCGTGGGCGTTGGTGGTGTTGCAAAGGGGGGGGGGGTTACATTCATAACACATCAACTCTGGTTGCGACGACAGCAGCAAAGAGCAAGGCAACAACGCAAGTCCGAACAATCACACACCACACACATCCATCGCTCCCATGCACTGCTCACAATAACATATGCACACGCCGCTGAACGTGACTCACATTGCTGGGCGAGCAGGCTGCTCTGCAGCGAAATGTACGGGCGAAGCGTGACTTTTCGCGGATCTGATGCTGCCAGCGCACACCTGCAAACAAAATGGGTGGGTGTGCATGTTTGTGTGTGCATTTGCATGCGTGAATATGTGCGGTCGATGTGACTCATCGCAAGCGCATCGATGGGAGTGCGCTTTTGAAAGTACGGAACGTCTTGGAACAAGCTGCATGAGCAAGCCAGGACCACCGAAGCAAAGCAGAAAATACAGCAGCGATGTAAATTACCGCATGTTGTCGAGATCCTCACGTCGCAGCGTTGCAATGGAATTTGCTGGAACGGAAAAGTGAAAGGTACACACACACACACACACACACGAAAACGTCAGGACAGACAGACGCACACACACACACGTACACACACACACGCACGCACACACACACACGCACGAAAACGTCAAGACAGACAGACGCACACGCAAGTGTTCATGAGTGCAGCGTATCCATTTGCAAGCACAACATGTGATCGGCTGCAAACAGGTGCACCATGTTGTGTGATCATAATGATGTGATGGGCGTCTTCCTACCATGTGGGCGCATGTTGACGGGGGAAGTGCTGGTAGGACGCTGGAAACAGTGACCAGGTGCAGACGAAGGACTGATGCGGTGATCGTCCTGCGTTGCTTGCAGGCAAAACCGAAGTGTCGCCAAATCGGCGTTTGCCATTCCGGTGCTCCTCAAGTGGCGTGATCGCGAGGCAGACCTAGCGTGAACAAGTGAGTGAGTTGGCGAGCGTAAGAGCGTGAGTAAATGAGGGAAATAAGTGTATGTTCGTATGTGCGCGTGTGTCAGCCTGTGTGCTTGTGTGCGTGTATGATCAACGACGCTGACTGCAATACAAAGCGTCTTCTGTCAACCCGTCACACTGCTCCTCGCCATCTCCATCTTAATCCCAGGCTCATCATCCCACCTGGAGCGAAGCGTCGTCTTCCTGCTAGACCGGCGAGCAGCAGCACCCCGTTGCATCGAGGCGTGCTGCTGGTGTGCGCGTGTGCTGCGTGTGGAGGCGTACGCGCGAGAATTGGCGGCCATCGATTGCTTCCGTCGTCTTCGAGAACTGATCACCCGGATCGTGTGCTCCTGCTGCGAAGATGATGTGCCACGGTGCAGCTTCGCGCCATCATCATCATCATCGTCATCAGCAATATCGTCAGTTTCAGCGTACACATCGCGGCCTTGATGTTGATGGTCGTCATTGTCGTCGTGCAACAAAACGACATCTTGGGCTTGAGGTGGGCGCGTGCCGTTGCTGCCCCCTCTCGACATTTGTTGTTGGTGTTGTTGGTGCGTCGTTGCCTGGTGGCGGGCACCACTGTCCCGCTGCTGCTGCTGCTGCTGATGTGCAGGCGTGTCGAGAAACAAGAGCGCGTCCAGCGAGTCGAACTGGCCCGATTGTCCGCTGCTGTCACTTTCAGTCCTGATGTCGCAACAAACACGGTGGTTGTGATGGGCCATCGTTGAGTATGTCGTCGTGATGATTGGAATGCGTGATGTGTGGATGGCAGAAACAAAGACAACCAATGCAAACCAGCCACAACCATCAGCACGATCAACAACAAAAAAGTAGTAGGCCCACTCGTTTTTCCGACATCATCACCAACGTCAACAACAGCGGCAACAGCATTCAAACGTCAACAACAGCAGCGGTGTGCACCTGCTGCGAGGCTGCTGTGCAATCACGCCGCCAAGATGGTCGATGTTGTCGAAATAGCCCGAGCCAGGACGCACACCGCCAAGGTCATTGTCCCACTCAAGACTGTGTCATGGAGGAGTGTGGTGCAGAAAGTGTAATGTGTACATGTGGCACAGCGTGTTTAAGATAGCGTCAGTACCACCAAGCAAACCATGCCTTGTATTACAACATTTAAGGTCTTGTCTCACCTGATGCACGTTGCATGCACACACACACACACACGTGCACACACATCATCAATACACGCACACACGTGCACACATATCATCAATACACGCACACAACAACCACGAATACATGCAACAGCAACAAACGCAAGGTACAAACCACATGCGAGACCACAGCGCACCTTGCGTTGCTGTTTTGGGTGCGGAGTTCACGGATGTACGAGTTTTGGCGTCGCGCCGCCTCTGTGGCGAAGTTGCACGCATCTGTGTGCGAGGTTGTGTGCCCGTGATGGCTGTGAGTAGGGTGGTATCACTGCGCGACGTGGAACGCACAAGCGCATTTCCTGACGTCCCGTGGTTGCTCAACAAACGCACATCCCACACACGGAAGGAGATGTTGCCTGCAGGCAAGGGAGCGTGCAGACAAAGGAAGGACACACGAGGCCACAGTACCAATACAGATCTCAGCTGCTCACTGTACCTCTGTGCCTCCTGATTTCGTCCACATCGGCGCCGTAGTGCGGGTCGCCGGGAAACGACAACTCGATCAGCTCATCCTGTCGTGTGCAGGTCACATTTTGGGCATGTGAGCACAGTGATTAAAGAGACACAATGTGTATTCGATGCGATGTGATGATGTAATCATGTGACAGCGAGAGGTGTTTGTGTGAATGGCATGTGTGGACTGAGGCTGAATACGAAGCAGCCTCAAGATTCGGTGGACGAGGAGGCATTTTCGCACGCACGCACGCACACATACGCACGTACACACAGCATACCTTGTCGTCGGTTTCCTGGCAGCCAGCGAGCAGCCAGCGTCGCCGCCATGTGTGCAGCAGCAGAAACTCCAAGTACTCCACCAGCTTTACACGGTGTCAAGGCGGCAGGCGGGGAGAGAAGGATGAGTGAATGAGTGGATGAGTGCGTGAACGGGTGGATGAATGAGTGGGCGCCGTGCGTGTGCGTGTGCGTTGCATGTTGTTTGATGCGAGTGAGTGTGTGTGTGTGTGTGTGTGTGTGTGTGTGTGTGTGTGTGTGTGTGTGTGTGTGTGTGTGTGGCGCGCGCGCGCGTGTGTGTGTGTTACATGTGCATGTGTTCAGGAACTGTGTTCTGTTGCTGGCGTCATATTCAAGAATGCGTTGATAGTACACCGACTAGCAACGCACCACCATGAGCACGAGCGCTGCCGAGAAGACGCTGACAAGGGCGTCGCTGGAGGGAACGATGTGCACCCACGCCAGCACCAGGCAGCACACCAGCACGTGCAGCACAAACTGGGACGTGGCGCGCTGGAGTGCAAAATGCAGGTGGAGAGAAGGACAGGTGGCGTGTGAGGACTAACGGTGTGAACGAGATGATGAGTGGGGCAGTACCTTTGAGATTCACACGCAAGGCGCAAACCCACAAGCACTCTCCTTTCTGGCGACTGACGAACAACAAACACGCAATTCGTGCAAACAACACACACACACACACACACACACACACACACACTCTCACTCGCTCGCAGACGCACACACACCAACTCACACACCTGAACGATGTTGTCAGCTGGAGAGTAAATGTCCGGGGAAGCGCGGGCAATGAGTAAGTGTGCAGAAGCAACAACACAGCCCACAACCGTCGTGGTCAGAAGCATATATGTTGTTGGCGTCTGCCATGCTGGGATGCACGCGCTCTCCTTGAAGTTGCTGATGATGCAATTGCATGCAACCAGGATGACAGGATGGGGGAGAGGAGGTGAGTGCGACACGGTTGTGATGGTGCTAATCTTGCTTGCGATGCAGGCGCACAAGGCACACACACACACACACACACACACACACACACACACACACACACACACACACACACACAGCACCACACACACACACACACACACACACACACACACAGAGCACCACCAAGAATGTGTGTGTGTGTGTGTGTGTTGCTGCCCCATGCGTCCCGCGCGTACTTTGGGAAGAGGAACCAGGCTGCGATGGCGAGGGCAACGGGAACGACAACAGCGGGTGCCAGACGGGTCCCGCACCACCACCGACCAACAGCAGCGAAGATATCGTTTTCGCGTCGCGTGATGATGACGCGCTGGTAAATGAGCATTGCGCGCGCTGCCCACGTGCACATGAGCAGCGCCACGGACCCCAACACCACCAACCCGCACACCTGTTGGACACGCACGTTCAAGGCAACGGATGTTACATGTTGTTGGTGGCTGACACATTTGACAGCGCAGCGTTTGTTCACAGCGTAGGCATGCATAATTCAACATTGCGGCACGCATGCAACGTACAGAACCACACCCGAATGCAACACCAATCGACATCCGTCTCACAACAACGATCACAGACACACATCCACACACACACACATACAAACACATCCACACACAAACACACATTCACACACACACACACACAAACCAGGTACAGACACACAGGCACAGACACACACACACAAAGGCACACTGGTGATTATCAACCAACCTGGCAGGGGATCTGTGTGCTGTCGTGGTGCTGGCGAAGCAGTACAGCAATGAGGACGGTGTGCATTGCGAGGTGCGCTGCAATGGTGCCAACCTGCAGGGAATAATGGTGCGGCAAGGATACCAGTGGATTTCGTGGAGTGAGGGGGAGGGGGTGGTGTGGTGTGTGGCAAATTGGCAAAGTGCTGTGTGGCATTGCAGGATCACAGGTTCTGGCGTTGTGCAGAACACTGCATGGCGCTTTGTCATGTGCTCGTGCATGCTCGACCTTGAGGGACGTGTGGTGGATTTGGCTTGGCACTGCAATGATGCACGGGAGCAAGATTAGCAGGGCCACCTCGGCATACCACGCCGCATCTATTGGCAGTGCAACATGTGCAGGATGAGGATGCGATCGCGTAAGCAAGTGAGAGGGTGGCATTGTAACGGGCCGCAGCGTGCAGGCATGTGTGGAAACGGTGCTGTGCGATGGGTTGCTACACGCATGCACTATGCACGATCACACCCGTCCGTTGCGAGCAATATGCATAAAGGATCAGACACGCCTCGTACCAAGTACAAACAAAGCCCCCCTCCCCTTGCACTTGCACTTTGTGCCACCACACTCACAGCAACACAACGTTGCAAGAACGTACAGACTATGCTTGGGTTCTTGTATGAGGCAGTGTTGGCGGTGGTGTTGGTGCCATTGGCACTGCCTGCTGCTGCCGTGGTGGTTGCTGGCGGCGGCTCGATTGTTGTGGCTGATGAGAAAACAACACCAGCACTTGATCTTCCACTTGCACTGGCTGTTGTGGTGCTGGTGCTGCTGGTGCTGCTGGTGCTGCTTTGTGCCACGGCGACTCTGCCACCCGAGCCCAGCAGCAACGCCAGCAGCAACACGCCAAGCACCGCCATGCTGCCCCAAACACGCTTCATTCGTGTGAAGCTGCCTGGTTGCTGTGGAAGGTTTTGTTTTTCCGCGTTCGTGCAGGTTCAAGGAAGGAAGGAAGGAAGGGGAGGGGGATGAGCAAGCAAGCAAGCAAGCGACGTATTGAAGTATTGATGGAACAGCCACAACTGATGTTCTCCACCTCCCACTCTCCTCTGTCACGCCTGCCACTCAAATGCTGCTGCTTCTGCTGCTTCTGCTGCTGCTGGCTCGACTCTCAGTTTGGTTGGTGCAGCGGCAGGTGTGGGGGTGTTTGTAGGTTTGTGCTTGCTTGCTTGCTTGCTTGCTTGCTTGCTTGTCGTCGTCTTGTCATCTTTGCTGTCGCTGTTGTGGTTTTGGCTGGTTTTGTTGGTGGCGTTGGAACGCCGCGTTGTCGCGAGGCCTCACTCCTCCCGCGCGTATTGTTTGTCATGATTTGTTTTGTGCTGTCGGGCATATTTTCGCTGATATCAGCACAAATCATTGATATTTTTCTTTACAAATCATCCGCCAAGGCAAAAATAAAAGAAAACTGCAGCCGCACAACCAGCCAACAACACACACACACACAAGCACCACCACCACACGAGGCCGAACAACCACAACTCACCACCCTCACCTCGCAACTGCCACCAACCCCTCGACCAAACACAAGCACCACCACCCGCCACGATGAGCCAACCTCAGGCCGCTGCCCCCGCCGCTCCCGCCGCCCCTGCCGCTGGCGGCAACCAAGGCGGCGTCTACAAGGACAAGTCCAAGCCCGCCACCGTGCGCATGTCCAACATTGCCGCCGCAAAGGGTGCGTTTGTGCCATGGTGCTGGGGCATGTCATCGATGCTGTTGTGCCATGGTGTTGGAAGAGAGAAAACATGATGCCGGCCACGTATGCGCAGCAGCAGTCGTCGTCGGCATCGTTTCTGTTGTCATTGTAGTTGTTGTATGGGTGAGTGAAGAAGAAGGTTCTAGCAGTCAACAGTGTGTCCACTGCCGTCCTTGTTTGAGGCTCATTTGATCTGTCAACTCCCCAACGCGCACCCTTGTCTCCGAAACACAGCCGTCGCCGATGCCGTTCGCACCAGTCTTGGCCCCAAGGGCATGGACAAGATGGTGAGATCGCTTGAATGCGCTCTCAGGCTGGTGCTTGGAAGCGGTGCGTGGGAGCGGAGGCGACGCTGGCGTGTTGTTTGCTGAAACGCTTGACCTTCAATACCTCATGCTTGGATTGTGGCTGGTGTTGTCGTGCGTGGCGACGTATCATGCGATCTGTGGATGTGCAGATCCAGAAGGCCGATGGCAGTGTCACCATCACCAACGACGGTGCCACCATCCTCGACCTCATCGACGTCCTTCACCCTGCCGCAAAGATGGTGAGTGGCCTGTGTGATCATTCACCCGCCAGAGGCTGACAAAACAGAGTATGAGCGTGAGCGCTTCTTCTTGTGCGTATGTGTCTGTGTGCGTAAGCGCGTGTGTGTGTCTGTGTCTGTGTGCGATCCAGTGTGCAAACTTCTCACTCCTGTATTGTGTGTGTGTGTGTGTGTGCGCGCACTTTTACAGCTGGTGCAGCTGTCCAAGGCACAGGATGTGGAGGCTGGCGATGGCACAACCTCCGTTGTGGTGATTGCCGGTAGCCTGCTCAATGCCTGCGAGCGCCTTCTCAGCAAGGGCATTCACCCCAGCGAGATCTCCAACGCCTTTGGCCTGGCCGCCGCAAAGAGCGCAGAGATCCTCGAGGCCGTAAGTTGTTTTGCAGACCAACCATGAGAACACCGTCAAGGGCCCGCACATGCCCAGGGCTGTTGCCCGCGCAAGCGTGCTTTGCTGCTTCCGCTTGCGGGTGACAACAAGTGTTGTTGCATGCATCACGTCGCACAGTCGCACAGTCGCAGTCGCACAGCGGCGCGGTCACACCCTTACTGCACCCTCCCCCCCCCATTTCAACAGCTGCAAAATACGCTCACTCACCCACCCACCCACGCACCAAACGACAACGCAACCTCTTGCCATATGTTCTTCCCTTTGCTTTTGTCGTTGATGGCAGATGTCGACGCCGATTGAGCTGTCTGACCGCGAGGAGCTGATCAAGAGCGCAAAGACATCGCTCAACTCGAAGGTCGTGTCGCTGTACGCCGACACGATTGCCCCCATTGTCGTCGATGCCGTGCTCAAGGTTGCCGACCAGGAGGCCTGCACCGTCGACCTCAACGACATCAAGCTCATCCAGAAGCTCGAGTGAGTTGCAGTCTCATGGTTTCATGTACACGCATTGCGCCTGCGAATGCTTGCGCTCATGTGTGTGTGCGTGTGTGTGCGTGCGCGTGCGTGTGTGTGCGAGTATGTGTGTGCTTTTGTGCGAGTGTGCGTGTGTGTGTGTGCACGCCTCTCTTTCTCTTCCTTCCTCTACGTTTCTGGCGTGGCTCACTCTGTTCCTCGCATGTCTTGTGTGCTGATTGCAGTGGCACCATTGAGGACACAGAGCTTGTTGACGGCGTTGTGATTGACAAGCACTTTTCGCACCTCATGAGCAACCGCGACTCGCAGGACAACGCAAAGATTGCCCTTGTCCAGTTCTGCCTCTCCGCCCCAAAGACAGACGTGAGCATTCACACGGGACACGCAGTATGTGTGTGTGTGTGTTTGTGTGTGTGTGTGTGTGTGCAGAGGGGTGTGAATGCTTGTGTGTGTTGTGTGTGTGGGTGTGTGTGTGGGTGGGTTCTGGGTTCGTTCCGTCGTTTGTTTGTCTGTTTGTTTGTTTGTTTGTTTGTTTGTTTGTTTGTTTGTTTGTTTGTGTGTACACTCTGTGTGTATACTCTGTGTGTTTGTTTGTATGTGGGTTTGTTTATTTGTTCGTTCGTTCGTGGAAGCGCACTGCTTCGAATTGTTGCACTTGTTGCTGTGAGGCCTGTGCAATGTAAACAACGCACGTGTCGCGTGTGCCGACGCGTTTCCCGCCACTGCCTTTGCTCACGTTTGCCCATTGCTGCGACGTTTTGCCTGTGCACTTGACAGCTTGACAACCAGGTTGTGATTTCGGACTATTCTCAGATGGACCGCGTGCTGAAGGAGGAGCGCAATTACATTATGAACCTGTGCAAGAAGATCAAGAAGTCTGGCTGCAACGTCCTCCTCGTCCAGAAGAGCATCCTCAGGTGCTGCGGCTCGACTGCTTGATCGTTTTGTCTGCGTTTGTTGTTTTTGTTGCTGATGCTGCCTCGTCACCTTTGCCGTTGTTTGCACCATTCCCGACCCCCACCGAACACACTCACAACACTCACACACACTCTCACACACACACATACACACTTGACGCCAATTTCTCGTCTTGCTCCCCTCCTCCCCCCCCCCAAACTGTTTGCACGTGCGCAGGGAAGCTGTGAGCGACCAGGCGCTGCACTTCCTCAACAAGATGAAGATCAACGTTGTCAAGAACATTGAGCGCGACCAAGTTGACTTCATCTGCAGGGTGCGTCGGTGCGCATTGCCTTTTCCTTGGTTTTGAGTTCACTGGAGCCATTTGCTTGCGCCTTCATCCTCGCCATGGCTCCACGCCACAGCCTCATTTCACCCAACACTGCCTCACCTCTCCCTCACCCTCTCTGCGAATGTCATGACACCATCGCCGCCTCTGCCGTGCAGTCGCTCGGGTGCCGGCCAATTGCGCACATTGACGACCTGACCCCCGACGTGATGGCAACGGCGGATCGCGTCGAGGAGGTCTCCACAGGCAGCACAAAGATCCTCAAGGTACACGCGCACACGCAGCCACACACACACACACACACACACACACGCACACGCAAGTGGCTCTTGTCTTGATGGTCTGCCTGACACTGTCTTCCCGTGCGCACTCACACACACACACACACACACACACACACACACACACACACACACACACACACACACACACACACACACACACACACACACACACACACACGCAGGGCATGATCACGGACATTCTTGAGGAGAATGTTGTGCAGCCGCTGCTGGTGTCGACGAGCGCCGTTGTGTTTGCTGCCGAGACGGTCCGCAGCATCATGAAGATTGACGACATTGTCACCGTGCGCTAAAGGCGACTGCAACTGCCACAGCCATCGCCCACACCCACATCAATCCATGAACGCGCCCACCCGCCCACTCGCTGTTGTCTCACGTGAATGCGTAGTCGCGTGGTGCGGGTTGTGCCCCCTGGGTATCCCACTCCCTGTCCCCCCCCCCCCCTTCCAGTTCTCAGCACCTATCATCCCGCTAGCTTGCTGTGTCGAGTCCTCGTCTTTGTGTGTTTGTGCCATGTTGCCCTTGTTGTCGTGTGAGTGGTGTGTCTGTGCGTTGTTGAGGGCCTTGGCTCTTCGCGCTCCCAACACTTTTCTGTGTGCACGTGTTTGTGTGTTTGATTTCCCTTTGTCGCTGTGTATGTGTAGACGTGAGGGTTTCGGTTCATGTTGTCTTAAGCCAAAATGTAATGTGACACGCCAACAGAAAAGGGAATCAAGCAAGCAAGCGTTTACACGGGTGGACGGGAAGTCAACATGGGAGCGCGCGCGCTGAGGGTATCAAGCGGGGTGAGGAAGAATTGCAGAAAAAGAGCGAGTGAGGTACGGATTGGGAGAGATTGCATGGGGCAGGAGAATGTACATTATGTGTCTGTGCGTGTGTGTGTGTGTGTGTGTGTGTGTGTGTGTGTGTGTGTGTGTGTGTGTTTGTCAGTGGGTTGGAGGAGGGCGCAGCTGACACATGACTGATGCAGGACAAATGGTAGTCGCGCCGACATCATGCGGAAACGATGACTCCAACAACTGGGGGAGGGGGGAAGGGTTTGTTCGTGGCTGGTTCAGTCGCGCTGCTCAAGGGCAGAGTACTCGAGGAGCTTCTCAATGAGATCCACGTGTGTCAGCAGCATACGACGGCAGCAATACCGCTTCAGGCCAACCTCATCCAACGCTTTGCTGCATGGTGTTGTCGTTGAGGGAGAGTAGGTTTGGTTTTGTTGGCGAGGGGGTAAGAATTGTGCTGGTGAACAAAAACACGCACATGGTGGACAAAAGTGCACACAGACAAACAAGCACACATGCACGCACGACAACGACACGTGCACACACACACACACACACACACACACACACACACAAACATGCACACACACACACACACACAAAGTACAAACAAACATACGCACACACACACACACACACTCTCTCTCTCTCTCTCTAAACACACTTCCCACAACACACAACACTCACACACAGCATACATATACGTCCTGTTGAGAACTGACCTCTCGCCGTACTCTGCATCCACAAAGCCGAGAAAGCGCTTGTACTTGTTGCCAATCACCTTGCCGCAGGAGAAGCAGCGCACAGGGATGATCATCTTGTCTGTGTGTGTCTGTGTGGTGGTGATCTGAGCGTGCTACTTGTGTTCTGGTGGGGTGGTGCTGGGTGGATGGAAGTTGTGGAAATGCACCCACGCGTTGGAAAGCCGGTGCGGTTGAGGGCGATTGGCGAATATCTTCAACCAACTTTCAAGCACACAAATACACACACAACAGCGACGAAGAACGACATCTGAGCTGTTTGGTGTTTGTGAGGGAAGCGTGACGTGAGGTGTGAGACAGCTCCCATCGCACAATAACAAACTTGGAACGATGGAGGAAGGGGATGCTGATAGCTATGGTGGCGTCCCAACACTGGTTGCCATGTGCGCAGCCATGTTTTTTGGAGCCTTTGGCGCAGGGCAGCTGCCTCTATGCCTCAACATTCCACCAGCCAGGTTGGTGGCATGTTGATCGCTTGTTTATGTGTTCACCTGTTGGTCGCGTGTCGATCTCTCGGCTGATCTCTTCTTGCTTGGCCGATTGCGATGCAACTGCACATCGGCGCGTTCTCCATCATGTAGTTGCAGTCGAGATCACCCTTCATGTATTTCTCCTCACACACACACACACACACACAC